TGATCGTGTTGGTGCATGTGTTGCATTGACATTGAAGGAGATGGAATGGAATGCGCAAGGCAAAGGTATAACCTAGGGTATTTCATTTCACCGGTCATAGGTGTGTAGAGAAGTTTATGACCGGGTTTAGGATAGATGGCCGTACTATCAAGAGGGGCAAACTTGTTTGCATATCGGTCATCTAGTGCCACTCGAGTGATCTAACTTTGTATTGTCGCTAGGATCGAGTGGTGTGGCAAGTTGAGTGGCTAACATCCTTTGGGAAATGATTATGAAAATGCTAACACACATACACATGGTGGTGTACACTTGGTGGTGTTGGCACATTTACAAAGGAGGTGGCGCTTTCGAGAAAATAGAATGCCTATTTTCTATTGTGCCGGATGCAAGTTCTTGTGGTTAGCACATTGGAGCAAGGGTGATGAAGTTAGAAGTGAAAACGAGTTAGTCGCGTAGATGCTGGCGTCGGTCAACTGACCGGACGCTGAATCTGAATGCACCGGACGCTGGCAGGCTGCGTCCGGTTAGGCTGACGTACGATGATGCAGAAGCTAGAGTGTGACCGACGCGTTTGCTGCGTCCGATCAAGTGTGACGGACGCGTCCGGCCGAGGTTGGTACTCTTCGAAACGACCGACGACGCGGGGTTCAGCGTCCGATCAGTTGATAGCTGCTGCGTCCGGTCAAGTCAAGTGACCGTTGGAACTGGGACACGTGGCCGTCTGCGGGCGACCGGACCCTGAGGTCCAGCGTCCGGTCAACACGACCGGAGCGTCCGGTCGGCCCGACCGTTGCCCAGTGAAGGGGTAACGGCTAGTTTAGCCCTTGGGGCTATAAATAGAAGTGGCCCTCGGCCATGGCCGTGGCTGAGCACCTCAAGGGACTTAGTGTCCATGCTTGTGAGTGCTTGGGAGCCCTCCATCACACATATACTTGATAGTGATCATTCGATTGTGTGAGTGAGCGATTCTAGTGCGATTGCATCATGAGGTTACATCGAGTGGCACTAGGTGGTCGTGTTGCAAGCCGATGGTGCTTGTTACTCTTGGAGGTTGCCACCTCCTAGACGGCTTGGTGGTGGTCTCCGTCGAAGCCCGCAAGAAGCTTGTGCGGCGCTCCGGAGAAGTGCTCGTGAGGGGTACTTGTGCTCGCCCCGCGGGAGTCGCGAAGAGCAACTTTAGTAAAGCGTGTCATTGAGCTACCCTCACTCAAGGGGTAGGTTCTTGCGATGCCCGACGACGCAAGGGCTTAGCGGTGATGCTAATTAGCCGCCAAACCACCAAGTGAGCGGTCGACACAACGGGGACTAGCGTGTTGGCAAACACGTGAACCTCGGGAGAAAAATCATCGTGTCAATCTTGTTCTTCCCGTTGGTTTGCATCCCCATTACACAAGCTTGCAATTACTTATATATATATCTTAAGCTTGTGTAGTTGCTCTTGTAATTAGATAGCTTGTGTAGCTAGCTAATTACCTTCTTGCTTGTGTAGCATAGAAGTAGCTCCCTTGCGTGGCTAATTTGGTTTTAGTAACCTTGTTAGTCACATTGCTTAGTTTGTGTAGCTAAGTATTTGCGCTCTCTAATTAGGCGTTGGTTGCCTTGTTATTGAGCATTGCTAGTGAGCTTAGTTAGCTTTGTGCTTTTGCTTACTAGCATGTGTAGGAGCTCCCTTGTTACTTAAAGTACTAGTGGCATAGGTTTATATGACCTTGCTCCTAGAATTGTTTAGAAGAGCTCTAGCTAGCCCGGCACCTTAGTTGCATAATTAGTATCTTTGCAAGGTGCTAGTGAGCATATATAGAGGGGTGTAGTCTTGGCTAGACCGATTGTTTTAATTCCGTATTTATATCGGTTAGCCGACGCGATTAATTTTAGAAAAGATTATTCACCCCCCCTCTAGTCCGCCATCTCGACCTTACAGTAGATGAGGTAAGCGTCTGCGAACGCGTGCTATAGGGCGAGGCAAGGTGGTAGAGAAAGCAGAGTGCAGTCCTATGCATGACTTGGCAGTATGTGCACACGGCGCGGAGCAGTGGCGGCCAAGCCTGGCCTGGTGCACAGCCAGCGGCCACGCGCTGGCTGCCGATGTGATCCGCGTGTCGTAGTGCCATAAATGGTAAGGCGACGGTGACACGGCCTCGTGCGCGTGGCATCAAAGCGGGCCAATGACGCAGTGCGGTGTAGCGCCAGGCGTACAGCGTGGCGATACGACGGTAGTGGCAGCGGCGTCGACACGTCGCGGGCGTGGAGGCAGCAGCAACACCAACGAACAGCGCTCTGTGGCACGACAGCATAGTGATGCGCGCGGCGAACAACGTAGGCTACGGCGAAGGGAGGGAGGGAGGGAGAGAGAGAGAGCGGCAGCTGCAGCGGGGCGGCAATGACAATGACCTGAGAGCCAGAAGCGTGGCGTGGCTGGCGCGGCGGTCGGTCGGGCCGAGTCGGGCTAACGCCATACGACGCAGCGCGACCAGGTCGACCAAAGTCGACAAATAGCACGGCGTGCGCATGCAGAGCGCGCCAACGCCGCGACGGCGCGCCCCCGTGGTCTGGTGACCGCGCCCAGCCCAGAGGGCTAGCCCAAGAATGTGTTGTGCACGGATTTTAAAGCAACGACTACCACTAAACTATTGCCTCTAAACCGAAACCGACTTCACTACGATCAAACTGATACATGAGGCTGCTCAGCCGATCTAAAACACCACATCACCCTCTAACCCAATCTCTCTAAATAAATTGCTAAATTTGGTAATGTCCAGCTGTACACAAGTTTGAAATTTTCTAAGTTTTTTGAGTTGAACTCTATTTTAAATTGTATTTCTAAGCTATTGAAAATATTACTAAGCAATATTATTTTTCAACAGCAAGTATTTCATTGTTATCTACAAAATTCACACTTTTAATTTTATTTAAGTATCACACACATGTTCTATAGTATTTTTGTTTAATAAAAATTGGTTTTAAACCCTACTTGATATACATGAGTTATTGCATCAACATTGATTTAACATTTTTATTGATTATTTTAGGCTGAAAGAAATTTATCAACACCTTTTATCGCATGCATTATTATATAAACACGATGCTCATGACATGATTTAATAGTTGGTTTAGGGCGTAACACCGATGGTGTTACACACTTCCTCAGCGCGCGCTCCTCCTTCCCAGCTCTGCACTGCACGCTACCAGCACGCCCCCCTCCCCCTGCGACGCGTGCAAGGAGCGGACCCGCTGGCGATGGTACGAGACCGGGGCAGCAGCATGGACCGTCGCTGCCGCCCTGAGATCGCGCGCCCGCACGAACTATGGCTACTGCGTCTTCGTCGAACGAAGAGCCCCGCTAACCCCAACGAACCCACGACCTGCGATGCCTACGAAGATCCTCAGCTAGCCTGCAGGCTGCAAGCGAGTCCACACGCCCCTAGATCGCCTCAGCTCGTCAAGTCGCGTCCGCCCCACGCCATGCGACGAGCGTGGCAAAGCATGCCTAGCACCCCCACGACCACAAGACTTTCACGTCGTCCAGTGCCCCAAAGACCTCCGTCTCGCTAGGCCCCGACGAACCACGCGCCTCCATCCGTCTCGGCTCGCCCCTCCCCGGCCGAACAACATAGAAAGCTAGAATAAAACACGTGTAACAACACGAAAACAACTACTGCAATATTAGGCTGAAGTAGTTGAAACACCACGAACATATATATTACAACAAGGAACAACAGCTACAATATTAGGATGAAGCAGTTGAAACACCATGGACATATTATTGCAACAATAAAGGAATAACAGCTGAAACATTAGGCTGAAGCAGCTGAAACACCATGAACATATTATTGCAACAACACGGAACAAACTGCTGCAACAATAGATTAAAGGAGCTGAAACATTTGGAACATATTATTGCAACAACACCGAACAAACTGCTGCAACAAATAGGTTGAAGGAGCTAAAATATTTGGAACATATTATTGCAACACTGGTGTAAAGCATATGAAACAACACTCAAAATAAAAACACTTGCAACAACATAAAACAACTACTGCAACATGAGATTGAAGCAACTGAAACACACCGCAACATCTCAAGCAGTACTACTGCAACATCGCAAAAACATCTGTTGCAACAACAACAACAACAAAAAACCATTGCAACATTCTAAATCATCTGTTGCAGCATCAAAAAAAATATTACAACACGGTGATATCTGACCCCGCGAGAGCTCGCCGAACCCTAGCCACCGCCGCATCCCTTAGATCCCGAGGAGGAGGAGGAGGAGAAGGGCTTAGATCCAGAGGAGGGGGAGGGAGGAGGGCTCAGATCCAGATCCAGAGGAGAAGCAATGCCTCAGATCCAAATCCCTCCGCAACCTACATCGTCGGAGCCGCCACCGTCGTCCTCGTCTCCGGTGGGGTGCAGGAGCCGAGTCGCAGGGAGAGTGGAGGGTGCATGGAAGTCATGGAGGGCAAAGGACTGAAGGAGGAAGGGAGCACGGCGGACAGGCTCGCAGCGAGCTCGCGTGCGGAGGGAGGGAGGGAGGTCGCGGAGGGGCGAGGGAGGGAGGGAGGGAGGAGGGAGGTCGCGTGGCAACGGCGCAAAGAGCGGGCAGGAAAGCGGCACGGAGAGCGAGTGCGTGAGAGAGCGAGGGCGGGGGAACGGGCGGAGTGCGACTACGGAAGAGAGCGACTTCGGGGCAGCGGGTGGAGCGGGTGAGATGCGAGTGCGGGGGGAGCGGGTGAAGTGAAGCGACGTCAGGCGGGTGGATAAGATGAGGCGTGGTCGGTGAGGTCGCGAATGATAGTCTGACGGGCGTCCGACGCGAGCATTTTCGATTAACTAATCCTAGCCAAAATAAAGCCATTTCCAAACCGCTAAACGCGCGCCTATAAAACCGCCGCCCTCCAAACTCCCACACGGCCACACCGTACCTCGCTTCCCCCTTCCCTCCCTCGCTTCGATCACCTCCGCTCCACACCCCCAACAAGGCCCTCCCGCCGGCGGGTGAGATGGCAATATCCGCCGCGGTGGCGCGACTGCGGGAGCTGGCGCCGGCGCCGGCGCCGGGGGCGGAGGAGGAGCTGGAGCTCGACGACGCCGGCGCGGCCGCGCTCGCCGAGTGCTGCGCTGGCCTCCTCCGCCCTGGCGGCGGCGGCGATGCCGGGGCCGCGAGCGAGACGCTCGAGGCGCTCTGCGCTGCAGGCGTAGGGGGCTCGATGTGCCGCCATGCCGATGGGCTCGCGCCGCTGGTCGTCGCGCGCCTCGGCGACGGACACGCGGCCGTGCGGGAGGCCGCGAGGAGGTACCTCCTCCTGCTCATGGAGGTATCGCGGGCCGCGGCTTTCGATTCTGTTCGCTCCTTGGAGTCGATCGTACTAGTGTTGGTGCTCCGAAATGATTCCTGTAGCTATTAGTTAGTTACGTTTGTAGCCGTGGGGTTTTCAGTTAATATTAATGGTTTTGTGAAGCCGGAACCTTAATTCCATTATCTGAAAAATTAATTGTTTTGAATCAGCACAAACTTTATGAAGTTGCCATAACCCAGGATTAGAAAATAAAACGAATTTGCGGTGGACCATTATTTATGATGATAGTATTTATGTACAGTGTATAAATAGCACCTCACGCAATTTATTTGGTTCAGAAATCTTCATGTGTCGTCTCACACTGTCCTTATATTAAGATTTAACTACTTTTTTTTTAAAAAAAAACTTTATGTTCCAAATCTCAAAAGAGGATTATTATTGGTCATATTCATATAGTAAAGAAAAGACTGAAGTATAATAGAGGTACTTGTGATAAGTTCCAGAAAACATTTGTTACCGTGAGTATTGAATTAAGTTGTGTTTAATATGTCTAGCTAAATGGACGGTCCAGGGTGATTTTGGAGAACCATAAGAATTGCTGTTTTGTTTCATGTTGCAGATGAAGGAGATGAATGCAAGAACGGAAAACACAGAGCCAAATTCCTGCATGCCAGATGACCAACACGTTCACTATACGACAATCGAAATGGAATCTTCTAGTACCAGTCAAGCAAGAAAAAATTCCAAAGACAAGATGAGCACAAGAGACATCTCACTTCTTGCAGGTACATTGGGCTTGCGTTCAGGTTTTCAGGCAATGGTCTATGGAGTGTGAAATATCTAATTTCATTAAAGAGAAGAGTGAAATATTTTAATATATTTCTATGTCTAACAAGAGCCTTGTATGGATTCATACGTCAGAAATTAGTAAATTAATTCATTCTCACATATCTTTTTTTAGTAAATCCATGATATAATATTATACTCATAGTAGTACTAAAGTGCAGAAAAACCTGATGATAATACCTCCAATAGCCGAACCTAATGTCGTTACTGAATATGTAAGATGGAGCGAATTTGCTGGTCATGTACCCCAAATGTAGGGTACTGGTGCACTTATGTAGTTGCTTTTCTATCTTACCATACCAGATCCTTATCATTGGGATATAATCTGTCATCCCTTTTTGTTGCAGGAGAAGGAGATATTACAAGAAAATTAGTCGAACCTATAAAGGTTTTCTCTGAGAAGGACCTACTAAGGGAGATAGAAAAAGCAGCATCTACTTTGCAGCCAGATAATGAGTGGTCAATCCGGATAACTGCAATGCAAAGAGTGGAGGGTTTAGTGCTTGGAGGTTCCTGAATGTTTTTTTTATGTTGGCTTTACTGTACACATAAATATTTATATTTCTCAGTTGAAGAAGTGTAGGATTTATTCTGAGGGCCTTTTCTATTTCATCTTTGTGCCAGGTGCTGCGGACTATTCAGCCTTCCCCATGCTCCTAAAACAGCTCGTGACCCCTCTAATAACTCAGCTTCTGGATAGGAGATCGAGCGTTGTAAAACAGGTTCAGTCACTCATAGTTTCATTTCATTTTTGCCACACAACTTTCTTTCGTTGTTAGGAAAGAGAATTCTGCCTACATAGTTACATGTACTGTAACCTGATCTGCAAATCAACAAAATTGCGATGGTAGTGCCTTGTTAGATTTGTTTGACCCGAAAACAGACATCATGTGTGGCTGTCAAATATCCTACTAAATAGAACATGCCATATTTTGTCCTTTTTGGGCACTCGCTGAAATGCATTTTTGTATTTTGGATACTAATAGGCATGCCATTTACTAAACTTCCTATCGAAAGAGTTACTACGCGACTTTGAACCATATGCAGAGCTGCTTATTCCGGTATGGTGTTGCTTTCTTTCTCTATGCATCCACTGCTAACAGTAACAGCTATCGGTCTCAGTCTGATGTATCTGAATCGACCTTGTTTTTACTTAAAACCACAGGTCCTTCTTAAGAATGTCGTGATCACCATCTTTGTAATTGCTGAGTCTGCTGATAACTGTATAAAAGAGGTATACATGCTCAAGCGCTAGCTCTGGCCATTTTGATTTCATGTTGTTTGATTCTTGCTCTCTATGCACAGATGTTAAGGAACTGCAAGGTAGCTCGTATACTACCAAGGATTATTGAATTTGCAAAGAATGATAAAAGTGCTGTTCTTCGTGCCAGGTATGAGAAGCACCGATATGGTATTGTGACACATAATACTTGATGGGAGCTTAAAAAGGTTTTCCCCAATTGCAGGTGTTGCGAATACGCAATACTAATGTTAGAGTACTGGGTTGATACTCCAGAAATACAGAGATCAGCTGACCTGTACGAAGACCTTATAAAATGCTGTATAGCAGATTCAACTAGTGAGGTATTTACATTGCGTCATTCATTCATTCTCCATTTCTTGTCATTTCCTGAGAGGAATGCTGGTTAGAAGTTTGATTGGGATTCCACAGGGTCATCTGTTCCTCCTATAAATTTGGAGCACATTTTAGTGTTTTCTTTTAAAAGACTTTCTTTAGGTATTACCACGTAGATTCATTAAAACATAAAGTTTTTCTTTTTGAAACATAATTAAAACATAAAGTTGACTAGCCCATTGATTGTCAAGGCTGAGTACCCCTGAATTATTACGAATATACGCTCTATGTGGGGCAAAAGGAAAACCTGGACTGTTATAGTTTCTTCTAAGATGCAGATCTTTGACCACTCTTAAAGTCTTAAGAGAGAAGTCTTGTCTAAAATTAGTTCATTTGTTCCCCTCAAAAAATAAAACAGTGCATTAGTCAGTTTGTCCTTTTTTTGGTTAGTCATGGGTTATGTGGAGATTGTCAACTGAAAGATGCCTGTGAAGAATCTATAGTTGTTGCAGTCCTCAACTTCTTGTCTTTTCGTTGTGGAAGTCAAAAGTCCTCTGATTTATTCTGCTCTTTTCCAATTTCAAGGTCCGATCAAGCGCAAGGGCATGCTACAGGATGTTCTCAAGGATTTGGCCTGACCGTTCACATCAACTGTACTCATCTTTTGAACCATCCAGACAGAAGGTATTTCCTTAAATTTATCTTGCGTTGAGGAAATTTATTAGACATACTAATCATCTAATCATGTAACTACATTTCTTTATGTAGATGATAAATGATGAAGATGCTGAGACACCTCAAAGGCATCTTCCTCCAGTTAAATTAAGGCAGCCTCAACCTAGTTCTTTCGTTCCAGCTGTAATAAATAAAGTTGTTAAGGTCGATTCTGGGACATCATTTTCTTCTGGAGACCTGCAGCCATCAGACAGACTATACCTCCAGTGTGATGATATGACCTCAAAAGGCCCAGACGAAGGCAATAAGGATGACACTTTGACTATTGGAAGTTCTTTTGAGGATAAGATCACGCTAAGAAAAGTAGAAACTAAAGACAGAGATACTGAGAAATATGATTCAGGTACCTGTCACGAAAAAAAAACAAATTTTATCATTACCTGTAAACACTTGTTTTTTAATTTGTTTAACTGGAAATATTAGGCTCTGCTGACCAATTTATTGCATAAATTCAGGCAACAGTGCAGGTGTCAATTTATCGGCCTGTGACCCACCAACTGCCACTCCCATTGCAACAGAAGCACCTTCAGAAATGTCACTGAATGATGCAGCTGTTGTAACAATTGTTCAAGATAAGGCTGAATGCAGGCCGAATGTTGAACCGATAACTCAGCAAGTTCAAGGACGAGAAGATCCTTCTGAATTGACGTGCCTGCCACCTGCAGTTAACTCGAAAGGTCCAGGGAACCTGCTAAAGGAAAATCCTGTTGAATTAAGTTCTGATGCTGGATCAAGTGGAAAAGTAGGAACTCATAAGAAGAGTGCTGTTTCTAAGGAGCCACGTGGTAGTTACACCCCTAATTTCCGTCGACCTCTCTTGAGTAAGCAGATGACAAATTGGTTTTATTCCAGTACCAAAAGCGATATACATGAGAAGCAACTCATTTTGGGAGAAGTGGTCAATAACATGGATGTGCCCTCATCTCTTACAGAGGCACTTTCTTTAGGTCTTAACCCAAGATCAGATTGGATGATGAAGGTATATGCATTCAGTTTCTTAAGGCAGTGTTTGCTAGAACGTGGATCAAAAAGCACTCAGGAAGTTGCACAAAATTTTGAGAAGGTTATGAGGCTTGTTTGTCGATATCTGGATGATCCCCATCACAAAGTGGCACATGCCGCTCTCTCATCACTAGCTGAGATCATGCCAGCTTTCAAGAAGCCTTTTGAACATTATCTCGACAAGACACTGCCCCGTATTTTCTCTCAGTTAAATGATCCAAAGGAATCAATCAAGCAGCAGTGCTTGGCAATTTTGAAACATGCAAATGAAAGTTATCCCATTGATTCTCTTTTACCCGCCTTACTTCGTTCGCTAGATGAGCAGAAATCTCCCAAGGCAAAACTGGCAGTTCTTGAGTTTGCAAATGCCTCTTTTGTAAAATGCACAGTCAATTCTGAAAGCTATTCTAGCAGCAGTTTCCTTAAGCCATGGTTGGGAAAGCTTGCCCTTTTGCTTAATGATAAAAACAAAAAACTGAAGGAGGTTACAGTGGTTGGTTTCTCATCTATTTATTCTCATTATGACCCTGAATCCATGTTAAGCTTTTTGGTCACCTTGTCAATGGAAGAACAAAAGCGGCTAAGACGGGCAATGATGCAATTAATACCTACAATAGAAAGTGACTTGGAAGAGTTCTTGCAACAAAAGAGACATAAGCAAAAGGCTCCATCTTTTGATGCTTTCACTGCTAAATCACCACTTCATCCTGCATCTCAATCTGCAAAATCACCCCTGCATCCTGCTTATCGATCTTCTAAATCACCACTCCATCCTCGATCTGCTAAATCACCACTTCATTCCGCATATAAATATGCTAAGTCACCACTGCATCCCTCATATCAATCTGCTAAATCACCGCTGCATCCAGCATATCAATCTAGTTCTGTTAAGACTGATGATTGTTTCAGTTCTGCACTCCAGTGTCTCCCAAATTTATCTTTGGAAGTCCCGGAGCACCATACTGAAAGGATTGAGTTTGAATCATCTAATGAATCTTATGGTCACAAAACTGAAATGATGGACAAGAAGTCTTGTACCGTGAGGTCAAGGAATGATCTCCCGAGAAGAAGTGACTTTAGTGTGATATCAGATAACATAGTTCAGAGTGCAAGCAGGGACAGTCGGAGTACGAAGATATTTGATGAACCAAATGATAGTGAACTGCACATAAATACCAGAAAAAACAAAGTTGTGAGGATGAGGAATGACTGCCAGGATCATGAGGTAAGCATTTCCCAGTCTGTTTTTTAGATGCAATTTCCCAGTCATCTCTTTCTCTTAACATAGCACTTTGCACATACATCAGATCTATAAAAATTTGACTAACCTGATGGTGTTTTGTTTGATAACTACTATTTAGCTTGTTCTCTTTCTGCAACAGTTACATGCTGTAAGTGTCTTATGAGCTTTCTTTTACAAAGCTTGGTAATGGATTTTTCATTTTCTATTAATAGGAGGCAGTGAGTCAATTGGAAGAAGATTCTGAAACGAGTGGACACTCAGTGCCCACCAAGGTTAGATTATTTTGACGGGCTGTTGTTTTTTCATATGTTGTAATCACCTCAATATCATTTTTGTTTCAGGGGTATTTCTCCTCCCCTGGTTATTTTGCTGGACATCACCTCATCTTGCACTCGTTTTCAGAATTTACAACAGATGTCTTCTTCCCTTCTTGAGATGCTTGATGATCCAGATGTGCCCACAAGAGAGCTTGCGCTTTCTCTGTTGGTTGAAATTCTTGAAAAGCACGTAAGCTTTTCTGAGACTCGTTAGCAGTGACTACTTGTTTGCTTCCTACATCTAACATGTGCCATTATTGAATACCATTTTCCATGATAACGACCCTTTGCCTTGCCCTTTCCATCCAGCGAAAGGCGATGGAGAACTGTGTTGAACTTCTTATAGCTAAACTGCTGCATGCAACCAAAGACGGTGCCTTGAAGGTAATACACTTGCAGTGCTTGGTTCAGCTCGCATTTGCTGATGCAACCAATCAACCATAAAGTTGGCATCTGAGGCCTTCATGTCACTGTCGCTGCAGGTTGTAAATCAGGCCCATATCTGCTTGACAACTGTGGTCACTCAATTTGACCCACTGAGATGCCTTGGGGTACGCTTGTTTTTGCATTTTTGTTAGTGTTATAGCTGTCGATACCTTTTGAACTGAATCTCATGGATAGAGGCCTTGAACGGCTTGTTGCTGTTTTTTCCCCTTTACTACTGTTGTTTACCTTTTTGTAAGCAATCTTATATTTCTCATTTAAACATGTAGGCCATAGCTTCTCAGTTGGCCAGCCAGGATGAGAAAATTCTTATTATAAGCATCAATAGTTTGAGCAAGGTAATCAGCACACCAAGTTTCATTATGTAAATTTTATGATTATCATCAGCCTGTTCGCTTGCTCGTATACGATCGTGGATTATAAGCTAGAACAGTATTTTTCTCTCATACTAAACCAGCCAGCAGTAAATAATCCACGATCGTTTACGACGAAACGAACAGGCTGCATGTTTGCAAACCAGTTAGGAAACTAGTGCTATGAGCCTCAATTTTAGCTTTAACATATTCATGGCTTGAACTGGGAGTCAACTAGCATTTAGCTAGCATGTATTTCCCAAATTGCATACTCATTATTCTTTCTTTGTTTCAGCTTGTGATCCGATTATCAGAGGACAACCTCATGGCTCATTTGTCAACGTTTCTTCCTGCACTTCTGGATGCTTTCGAAAACCGTAGTCCATATGTCCGCAAGGTTAATCCAGCCCCGCTTTTATTTTGATTTACATATTCCAGTCCTCTAAGATGGCTCACTTTTTCCCCGGGAAATTTGTTCTTATTTTTCATCTCCTCCAAATTACTTCAGGTAATAAAAGACTAAAACATACTAGGAATTATTAGAGGTCAATTATTTAGGCAACACAATGTACAGGTTGCACTAGAAGATCGGTTATTGGACTATGTTTTTTCTCGAACGTGCTGTGTAGCACGTATTTCATTAAGAGGAAGTAGACAACACCGAACCAAACAACAAACGGCTCAACACTAGGTAACCAAAGGTTATTGGACTATGTTAGCAAGGAAAATCATAAAATAAAAACTCTGCATTCAATGTGTGAAGAAAACCATAAATTCACTAGCAGCATCTAAAACTTGCAGTACCAATCGGCTTAAAAAGGTTGGTACAAAATGGTCGACTTGATCTGTTCATGCAAGGGTCCATGGGCAAGAAGCCTCTTACTGACCTATGGACTGCGGTGGCCACAATAAAAACTGTAATAATCATGCCTTGCTGTCTAGCATGATTCAATGTGTTCAGAGAACCAGAAAATTCAGTAGCATTTCTTCCGCACATGTTTGGTCTGTTCCTTTCGGTTAGCCGGGCCATATCCCTCTTTACTGAACAGAGCTCAGTGCATGCCTGCATCTGCATGGGGGTAACTTTATTCGGATGATCGGATCCAGTCAAGATAGAGGTCACGCATGTAAGCACCAGACTGCATCCTGATACTACTCTCTCACATCCATGCTATTCATGCTATGCATGCCGCTTCCTAAGCATATTTGCATGACTGAAGAGAAGAAACAAGGAGCCGTCATCAGGTAGGACCTGCAGTAGCTTTACATTTTACCTGCAGCAGCATTGTACCTGAACCACACACATACTGACATACCAAGTAGTAGCAGTAGTCGTCTTGTATTTGCTGGAAAGATCTGCATTTGCTCGCCCCCTCAATCAAAAAAAGAAAATGATGACATGTGTTGCTCATTTTCACCCACGGCTGTGCGCTGCATGCAGGCTGCGATGGTGTGCGTGGTGGACGCATACCTGAAGCTGGGTCCGACGCTGCTGCCTTACCTGGAAGGTCTGGACACCGCGCAGCTGCAGCTGGTAACCACCTACGCCAGCCGGCTGTCCCAGGCAAGATTGATTGCGGCGGACGGCTGACGCAGCAGGGCACGCCGGACGGGCCGGCGGCCGGAGGAAGAGGATGTTCCGAGGCAGCGTGCTGCGTGCGTCGTCGTCGTACCACCCTCCCCCTCTCATAACGCCCGTGCGCGCCCCGGAAGAAGAAGAAGGAAGAACGAAGGCCTGTCCTTGGCCTCCTGCGATCCCGATTTATGAGCATAGATTGCACTGCGCTGCGGACGGAAGTGTACCGTGCCGTGCTGCGACTGCGAGCAGCAATGGCTGCGCCTGGTTTTTCCTCCTCTTTCCTTGTTTGTGGAGTGTGTGCTGTGCTGTGCGGCTGTTGTCATTTAAAGTGGGAAGTAAAGGGTGAACAGTCAGTCAGTTGTGAAATACTGCTGCAAGCAGTGATGAATTTGAATAAGGGCATGTTCCACTCTAAAATGTCAAATTTTTCAAGATTTTCCGTCACATCGAATCTTTAGACGTATGCATGAAGCATTAAATATAAATAAAAAATAAAACTAATTACACAGTTTAGACGAAATCCACGAGACGAATCTTTTAAACCTAATTAGACTATGATTGGACACTATTTGCAAAATAATAATAAAAATGCTACAGTAGCATTTCGTCAAAAAATTTGGCATCCAAACGGTGCCTAAGGAAGAGCAAGATTTGTGAAATGGAACCTGGACTGGACTGGATGGATGCTATTCCGATATCCAAATGGAAGTGGTTGCCTGCCGAGAGCACCAAAGGCTCTTGCTCATGGTGCCTGGCCTGCAGGCTGCAGCTAGCTGCATGTGCACCATCCCTCGCTGATACTACTAGCGAGGCGTGCCGTATGGTATGTTTCAGTCTCATGCATCCCCGTCAGCTTTGGTTGGCTTGGCCGCCCACTTACTCTACTCCGTTACTCCACTCAGCATGGTCCATGGAGATTGGAGAAGAAGCAGCTGCTGCCTGCTGGCTGCTGCATCCATAATCGTCCACTCCTGATGAAGGCTTCCTCATCTGACAGGCTTTTATAGGTTTTTAATCTACATACAGAGCATTCATTCAGAGAAGAAAACAGTGGCGGACAAAACCGCTCAGCCCACGGTAACTAGTATGCATAATACCAGTATACATGCACTGCTCTGTTGGGTCCCATTCCCCGTAGTAAGTGCATGCTGGGGTTAGAAAATGTAAGAACAAGCCTTCCATCGAGGCTGTAAATTATATTGGAAATGCACGAAATGATCGGGTGCACACGGCCACACAGGCAACTGGTGTATGGCATGATGCAGCAGCACAGCAGCAGGAGCAGGAGGATACAGGATATACGTACGGCCGGGCACGCCAGGCAGACAATGAACGCGCGGCGCAGGTGCAAGGTTCAGCAAGGAAGGAAGCGGACGAACATGCCCAGTGCCCTGCCCTGTCCTCGGAGTGTTCGGCTGGTCCAAAAGCCGCCGGTGCTGATTTGTATAGCTAGTTTTCGGAGAGAGAAATACTGTACCGTGGCTTATAAGCCAGCAAATAAGCTGGCTTATTAGGCCGCCGGGATGGCAAGGGAGCAGCAGGGAGAAGAGAAGGCCGCCGGCCGGCCGCAATCATCGAGCGGAGCTGAGGTCGGTCCAGTCCAGTTCCAGTTAGCCAGGCTCGTTGAGTGACTTGCGAGGGCGACGAAGCAAGCACTGTGACTGTGAGCGGGCCGGGCGCGCGCACATGGCGCGTCACGCCAAAATCCCCACCATTTTTTGGCAGAAAAGAAACATGCGTGCGGTGGATGGATAGAGCACCCCTGCTAGTCCTCGAGGAGGAGGAAGATTACTGGCAGCAGCACCCCCCTCCCGTTCGTGCTTAGTGCAGTTTTTTTTACTTAATCTACTATCTATTGGGATGAGCATGAAGGATGAGCAGATGGGATGCAGCCTGTTCGGGAGGCTGTAAACGATCGTTTCAGACATCCCCTCCGCCGTCCACTCCATCCCCGCGATTCGATTCCCCGAGCCCGAGCACGCAGCGCACAAGCAAGAGGAGGGCACCGAGAGAGAGAGAGAGAGAGGCGGGTGCCGCGGCCCATTAATGGTGCTTCACGTGACCTGCCACGCCTCCACCTCCGGCCCTCCTAAACTCTACTCTACTCAGCCAGCCAGCCAGCTCCTCGCTCCTTCACCCTCCCCTTCCTTCCGTCCGTGTGCGTGCGCCATTGCCCATTGCGCCCTGCCTCCCTTCCCTCCCTCACCAGTCACCGGACCCTTGGCCAAGTTGCCATTTGCCTCCCCTCCCCATCCCTCCCTCCCTCCACTCACGGTAGCTGCCATTGTCGCCCTGTCTCCCCCTCCACGCTCTACCACACCACACCACAGCACAGCGCCACGATCTCGCCGGTGCCACCGTGCTGGGCAAGTGGGCTCCGCCTCTACCTACTGCCTGCTGCCACCGGCGCCCGGCGGCTCTGTCTCTGACGGTACGGACGTGGTCGGCCGACTGCTGCCGCAATCCGGCGTTAGCTGACAGCGGCAAGGAGGACAGGCGCCGCCGGCCGCGGTACCTCTGCTCTGCTGGCCCTCGCCATCGCCATCGCCGCGGAGTGACACGGGGTAGGCGCGGAGGACGCTAGATCCGCGTGTCCGGCCCCGCCTCCACCGCACCGCCGCCCGCGGCGGCGGCGGCCGCGGTTTCCTCGTCGCGCGCCAAGGCAGCTGCTGCAGTGCAGGTCCGTCACCCCCTCCTCCAGCCCCCCGTCCTATGCTTCTCTGTGCTTGGTGGACGTGGTGGGTTTTGCCATTTTTGGGTTGGGTGAGCTGTTCATCCGGATGGCCGTGGTGGTAGTGGGGAGGTGACCGTTCGCCGTCGCTGTCGCTCCCAAAAGCGGCGCCTTTTCAGCCGCGCTTCCGATTAGGGCTCGGTTTGGATTACGGAGCTCCTCCTCGCTCCTTTTTTTTAATCTCCTCTCTAATCCGATCTAATCGCAGTCACCTGGTCGCCTCCCACTCTATCCTGTAGTAATTAATGCCCGTAGTTAGTTCTCCCCTCCTAACCTCTGCCTTGCTGCATCCATGGGGACCAGCACCATCGCCAGCTTTCCCTCCGCCACGCCCATTGGCTCCGGTGCCGTTGCCGACTTGCCGTTGCCATTGCTGCGCCCTGTCCCCGTCCTCCTCCTCCTCGGTGGTGGGATAACGACGGCTGCGTCCCCGCCAACCGCCGCATCCTACTACTCCCCGATTCGGTTGTTGCCGGCTCCGTTCCGCCGACCAGGTAACATGCGCCTCTGCTCTGCTCCGCGCCGCCCGTCCCAATCACGCCATTCCTGCCGCTCTCTCGTCTGAATGAGATGAGATTCGGTCGGGTCATTTTCCTGCGTCCGTCGCCGTCCGTCCGTTCGGGCGGGCAAGAAAAGGCCGGCGCCTTTCCTCCGCGCCCCAAGCTAGCTGCTGCTCCGGCCGTCGCAGCTTTCTTGGCGCGTCTGCGGGCACACAGCACCTCGGTTCGTTGGGTAGGCAATCGCCCGCCTTTCGCGGCGTGGTTGCGACATTGGCAAAGCTTCTTCCTTCTCGCTGTTTCCGCTGCTTTAGCGTGCAAGTTCCTGCCAAAGCGAGGGGATTGCTACTGCGTCGAGGAGCCATTTTCCTTGCAGCCTGCATAGCGAAAGAGAAAGGCAGCCAGGCGGAGAGAGAGAGAGAGAGAGAGAGAGAGAGAGAGACGCAGCGGCAGCTTTTGCACGCCCGCGGCGCATCTTTTTATCCCCGCTAGCTAGTTCGTCTCTTGTGGCCTTTTCCGGGTGCCGGCGGGCGAAATGTGAATATGTGATGATGAGTTTTCGTGGCGTCCGTCGATCTGTTCGCTGTTCTCCCATCATCATAGTTCCCTGTCGTCCGTCCTTGGCGCATTTGTTCTTGTCCTCGGGGGAGCGAGGCGTGTGGGGGTTCGCGCTTCACGTGTTGATTCCCCGCGCTCCCGCACTGCCTCCTCGTCGGATTTCGTGATGTGGAGGCCGCTTTTTGGACGCAGCTGATCAGTTGTATTTTTTTTGTTCCGTTCTTCCGCTCCTGCCTTGTCCGGTTCTTCTCTCACTTACTATCTGTCTTCAAAAGGTTTAAACTTTGAAATGTCTGTTACTGCTAGCATGATGACGACGTGATTACGGAATCTGATGAGTTATGGCTCTGATTTGCAGGAGGAAGTTGTGAATGAAAGGGGCTCAGGATAAGAGGCACAGAAAGAAGCAGGACCTTCAGGTTCTCGCGCCCTTCCCGGGATGCCTGGGGGGGATGATCAACATGTTCGATCTCAGCAATGGCGTGGTTGCCACCAAGATGCTCACCGAGAAGGCACATAGAGATGGTACCTATTTCTCTTACCCTTTTCCACTACATGGTTTTGTAAATTTTGCATGATTTTTTCTGTTCCCTGGGATGGATTTCTTCTTCTTCTTCAGCGTGTGCAAGGTTATGCTCCACAAAATCTCTGATGCAGTGTAGCATATGCTTTGCAGTTTCTCCAGCCGGAAAAGACCGGAGTAATACTTTCAAGATGGCAATTAACCCCCCAGCTCAGACTGAAGATAAACAGGTATGTCGATTTTTTTATATGTTTTTTCTCATCGAAATAAAACTTGCGCACAACTGGAAGTTACACAATTTTGTTCATCTTCTATGATTTACCTGCAGAGAGATAGTCAGACAAGAAGGAATTCCCCTACTAAAAGATCCAACTCACCTACTAAAAGGACTGGTGCGACGCCTGTTAAGATGCTCATGGAGCAGGACATGTGGAAAGAAGGGATGCCTGATGAGGAGCCATTGAATGTTGTTGCAAGATTAATGGGTCTACATGACGCTCCAGTTCAGCAATCTAATTCCCCTTTAGGAAGACAATTGGATAAGGAATATCATTGTGGTGGTTTTGAAGAGAACTACCGGAATCTCAAGCCGAAGAAGGAAAGCAAATGCCACCAAAACCAAAAGGTAGGGGCACGCCATCAGCACACTTGGAATGATTCTGGTGACCAACCATCAAGAATCAATAGCATCCAGAGCAAGCACCAAGGAAATGAGCCTTGTTGTGAGAAGAGGATGTCACTTGTTCGCGAGAAGTTTGCTGAAGCGAAGCGTCTAGCCACGGATGAGAAGCTTCTTCATTCGAAGGAGTTCCAAGATGCACTGCAGTTTTTAAGCTCAAATAGAGAGCTATTCTTGGAGTTCCTTGATGAGCCAAATCCTCTGTTATCAAGCAACCGTTATGAGTTCCAACCTGTTGCACCACCTTCTGAAGTAAAGCAAATAACCATACTGAAGCCATCAGAACCAACAAAGAGAAAAGGCAGCATCCTTGTGGGGAGACAACTGCTTTCAGATGGAGATGAAAGTGAACGTAACAGATACAGGCGCCATCAGAGTTTAGATGTTTCCCCAGCAAATTCAAATTTGTCTGAGCCAACAAAAATTGTAGTACTAAAGCCAGGACTCTCCAATTCTCATGATTCCAGGATTGTGAGGTCTTCATTATCATCAGCAGAAGATAGTGAAGAAGAAAGTATGATGACGGTTGATGAAACCGTGTGCTCAAGAAGGTTGGCAAAGGAGATCACTTGGCAGATGAGGATGTGGCTAAAAGACAAGCAAGATGAAGAGAGCATGCTCTCATGTGAATACCCTGACTTTTATATCGGAGATGACTCCTTCAGTAAGTCAGAAGTTGAGATTGCAAAAGAGATGTCTGGTGAAACAAGTGAGGAATTGGAGTTTGGCACTCCGACTTCTGGCCGTTCTTGGGATTTTCTGAGTAGAAGTGGAAGTCCTTACTCTGCGTCATGCTCTAGTCAGGCATCCCATAGAAGGGAACCATCTGTAGTTAGGGAAGGCAAGAAGAAGATTTTAGAGAGATGGTCTATGGTATCATCAACAGTCAGTAGTGAGGAAGAAATGGAAGGTCGCAGAAGTACAGGCACACTTGGTGACATGCTCACAATACCGAAAGTCAAGGACCAGGAAGAAATTGGGGCTGAAACACTGGGGAGCCCAGCACCTGAGTTGGAACCTGAAGGACCTTTCTCATGTTTGCCAAGATCTCGATCTCTTCCACTTTCTTTGTCCTATGGAGTCACTGAGTCAAATGGATTAGCCTCTGGCACTCAGGAAGCTGAAAAGGAAAGAATCAGGAAGTCATCATCATTTAGGGAAAAAGTTTCTAGCCTGTTCTCTAAAAATAAGAAATCGACTAGGGAGAAGGTAGATCCATCTGCGAGCAATAGACTCAAGAATGGAGGGGCTGTGACTACTGGTGATGTGAAGGAAGGCTGGAGCCATCTTGCTCTAGAGAATCTTCAGAAACAAAGTACTTGTCTAAATACAGATGAGAAGAACACTGTGCAAGGACTCGTGACTAGTTCTTGTGATACTAATGATACAGCTAATATCCCTGCCAAGGTAATTCAACATCTATCTTGTTAAAGCTGGTGCTCATGGTTATCGTACAATCACTTGTGTAGCCTTCAAAAGTCCAAAATATGATAGTTAGCTTTGCTGTATCAGGATATTTCCTCCATTTCAAGTCTTGGCGCCCCAGGAATCTTTGGTGACCCTCAGGACCAACCTAGTCCTGTATCTGTACTAGATGGACCATTTATATGTGATAACAGGAGGCTACTGTACTCATCTGAAAATTTCATAACTTCATCCCCACGTAAGCCTGAAAACCCATTTCATCAAACTCTTAGCTGTCTAGCGCAAGATGGTCTATCTCAAATGGCATTTTTACATATATGCGCAGAAGCTTTGTCGAGGTCTCCCCTGATCGGATCATTTTCACGGTCACTGTCATGGGAGGATCCCCCGCTGGAAGTCATGTCGCCAAATTCTTTGAGACTCTCAAGGCTTTTCTCAAAGGCTGATGAAGATCTAGATTCACTGACTTTTATCCAAAAGCTGGTCCACTCTTGTGGCATGGATGGAGAAAGTTGCATATTAGCTGACCCTTTGGACCCAGATTTGCTTGAGAAGATTTCAGATTATGATGAAGAAGGAATTAAGTTTGGGAAAAGACGGTCAAAACAGAGGCTTCTTTTTGACGCCGTAAATGAAGCACTCACTGAGCTTGCTTCGATGGCGGAACTGGCTGCATACCCCTGGGGTAGATCATGCTCTTTGGAGCACGGGGATTGCAAGAATGGTTCCAGTAATTTGTCGGCTGAGGAAATTTGGCGGGTCATTAGGAACTGGTCGATACTTGAGAAGTATCCTCCCGGCGAAGCTATTGAAAGAAATCTCTTGCTGGAGATGATACTTAAGAGGGAGGTGGCTGAGGCAGCCAGCGCTGACACGACTCGGTTAGAGATGTTTGATCTCAACACCGCGGTCTGCGCCATGGTCTTGGAGGACCTGGTTGAAGAGACAGTTGTAGATCTGACTAACTGCTAGTGAGGTACCTCTGTCCTCTAACTAATAATCTTGCCTCTGCTCCCTAATGTTGCTGTTGGTGTGATACTTGCTGCTGTAACACTGCTCCATTTATTCACGCTATTACTTGCTGAAATGTGATGTCAAATGGGTCTCTACCTTGTTTACATTTCAGTTTTGATCTCTGATATTTGCTCTAGCCGCCAACAACAACAACAACAACAAAGCCTTTAAGTCCCAAACAAGTTGGGGTAGGCTAGAGTTGAAACCCAGCAGAAGCAATCAAGGTTTATGCACGTGAATAGTTGTTTTTTTTCGGGTTTCATCTCCATTAGAATGGCTAGATTTAACGTTGGCTCGCCACACCTATCACAACCCTCCTCCTTTACCACCTGCCATGCTGAGACAATAGGCGGAGTTCGATATTTGCTCTAGCCGTTAACTATTAATGGTTTTGCAATGAATTATGCCATTGTTGTGTCTATATATAGCCGTTTTGCACACACAAGACAAAAAATAATAAGTTGCATGGCTCCACGCTTCCACAGCACTAGTTTGTTGATGCTGCCTGTAGTTGAGATTGTCTCACTCGGGATGGAGAAAAAGGAGGGTTAGAAACAGGAGGAAATAGTGGGTGTACTGCTGTCTCCTTTGTGGTGGGGACCTGTGCCTGCTTGGATCGATCAGTCCAATGCATGGTCTAGTGCAAAAGACATGAAAACATGCACATGGCATCTTGGAGCCTGTCCTGTCCACACATCTCACAAGGCACAAGATGATCCTGTTAGTGTGCATGTCAACTGTCATTTTGTTTATATGATTCGAGGACACCTTTTGTTTAGTTGAGTCTAGTTTAATCCAAGCTTAGAGCCTAGTACTCCCATGCCACTAGGCTGAAACATAGTACATGCTTAGCAGTAAGACAAATGTTGCCTGCCCATTGTCATGGTTATTTTGGTGAAGGAATCAACCAGACTAAACTGCCTTGTCATCGCCTCGAGATTGGCGCGTTTTGGGCCCTGCATAAGCAAAAACTAACGGGAGAGGAGAATCTCTTGAGCAGCCTTCATATCACGGTTACATTTGGGAAAGAGTAATTTGAGGTGAAGCTGAAGACCACGGCATCAAATTAAACATGGAGCTTTGCCCTGGTGTCTCGCGCCACTCCACCAGTTAGTTTAAACCAATTTGATACGTACAGTAGTATACTACTCCTGCAGTTGCTTGTAGAAAGGAGGTGTGCTTGTGATGTTGATGTTGCTGTTGCTGCCTGGTTGGATTATTAGGGTTCTTGTGGCCTGTGGCTGCCATTGCCATGTGGGCGACAGTGGCTCCATGTGGGCGTGCCACGTGGGCCCACATGCCAGGCAGAGGAGACGGTGCACTGGTGCTGCTGAATGATACCGGCCAGGGGCGGGGGAGGGGGCGGCGGGCCGCTGCCGCTGCTGCTGCATGCTACAGGTCACTGGGGACCTGGAGGAGTAGCCAGCATGCAGGTGGTGGCCAAAGCCATGGCCGGGCAGGTAGCTTAGCCCTGTTCATCTTTTGCTCACTTTTCAGGCGAGCATGTGAATTTCCCTGGAGCATCTGCAACTGAGCAGTGTGATTTCTTTCGCGCTCCTCTCCAGACTCTCAAGTTGCCACTGTTTGTGATCTGGCCTCTAAAGAAAACCACAGCAGCAGTCGGCCTCAGTCCTCTTGTTTTCTAGCTAGGGGCGAGCTCCAACTCGGTGCTGTGACTGTTGTTACATTACATATACTTACATCGCCCGGTCTCTCCAGTAACAATTCAATGGTGGTTGCATACTTGCATTGCATGGGGACTGAACTGAGTCACTGACAGCAGGGTAAAGAAATGTTTGTGACTCCTCTCTGCTTTGCTTCGGGCTTGTATATGTACGTATGTACATTGTGCCTTTTCGCTTGCATTGCATGCCATCATCAGCTAGCTTTTCGCTGGTACTTGTGAACAGTAGCTAAAGCTAGCACATGCAGACTGGCTGGTTCTCAGTTCTCACAAGAAAGATGGTAAAGATGTAAACGAAAAGTGTTGACATCAGATGCCTTTGTTTTGCAGCTCTTCGTCCTTGGTCGTCTGCCTTTGTTTTGCAGTGTCTATTGCTGCTGATGCCGCCATTTGCTGGATTTGGAGTGGAGTGTTTGGCCATTGGCCCATTGCCATGGGATCCAATTCAAAGCCTGAAGGCTGAAGACTATCAGTTATTGCCATGTCTGCCTTTCCCCTGCAGCCGCTGCCGCCAAATTGCTGTAGGTTTTTGCGGTATGATATGAATGAATGCCATGGCCTGCTTGCATGCTTTGCTATTGAAAAGTAGGTTGGTAGGTACTACTAGTACGTACTACGTACTGCCCCTGTCCTGTGGGCCTGTTGTGGCTGGCTGTGTGTGGTTGGTTGGTTGGTTCTTCTCGTTCAGGTTGCATGCACATGCACGCAGTGTGTGTACAGTGACTGACTGAAAGGTGTGGATCGGAGCAACATTGATGAACTGGGGCTGCCACGCCACTGCCACCACCTCCACGACGGCTCACAACGGTCTCTGGCCGGCCTCTGCCTGCATTGCTTTCTCACCGGTCCTTGAAGCATGCATGCATACTGTATGTCATATGTGTATGATGAAAAAGATAGGAAAAGGGTGGTTGCTTTTTTGATGTGGCATGGCGTTTGGCAAGCAGGCAAAGCAATGCTGCTGTGCAGGTGCAGCCAGCTCCTGCTCGGTTATCGCGCATGTTTTTATTTAACCTGATTATCACACATGATTACTCGAGTAATAATGACGACTGAATGATGGGACTCGAAGGGTAATCTCAGTTAACCACTTTTTACTAGCAGCCTAGTTTGCGGTCTCGTTTGATATGGCTCTGCTTCACAGGTCGAGTAGTTTTTCGTAACTTGTGGAACCAAAACTGTTTTGATGAACCGTCTGGTAAATCAGCTCATCGTATCATAGTAGATAGAATTGATGAAGAACATATTCATAATAATCTTGCCGCTTTTTATATCCTTCCGTATTTCTTTTCTCACTTCTTTCCTGTCTTTCTCCCGATGCCTTCAGCCTCCCTCGTCGTCGTTCTTCAATCTCCACGCCTGTGCCTGTGTTTGCCCCGGTGGCCGCGCCCGCCCTCTTCGTTGTCACCACTGATAAACTACTGCATACAGCTTAATAATTAGAGTTAAATGCATCATAGGTTCATTAATTTTTATTGATGTGTTATTTAGGTCCATCAATTTTAAACTGTATTTTTGAGTTTATTAACTCTTGATGATGTGTCATCCAGATCCATCAACTTTTAAACTGTATTTTTTGGTCTATTAACTTTTGATGGTGTGTCATCCAAATTCATCAACTTTTAAATTGTATTTTTGGGTTTCTAAACTTTTTAACTGGTTCACCGTAGGTCCATACCCCTTTGTTTAGCGAATAGATCTGATATGGCATGCCAAAAAAGCAGCCACCATGAAGTACAGGACGAGATCACCATCCAGAGATAATCTTCAATACGAAGAACTTGATAGGATCACCGTCTAGGGTTTCTCGAGCGACGGCTCGACGGAGAATAAACTCCACAATAAAATCCAGTCTAATCTACCCGGTACAAGGCCGAAGGCCACAGGTATAGGCATGCAGGCCACCTGAACCAAACAAAACTCGGACTCCACCAGCCCAACTAGAACCGATTGAACCCGAGTCCCTGATTCGACTAACATGCATGGCACGTCCAAACGCAGCCACCAATTTGATTCACGTACACAGGTGCATGCAGACACTAAAAGCTAGATACTAGATAAAAGATCGTGTATCACAACTGAATAGGAAACTAATGCATGAAAATAATAAAATACTACGGTAAGGATGCTAATCACGTTGGGAAAATTCCATTGATGATCTCCACCTCTTTAGAATTAGTGCTGATGTATTTTGTTGACTTCATTTTCTCTTCCTTTCCACGCAATAATAAGGCACCTCTATAAAATATCTTTGATGACAGTCCAGCAGTTGTAAATTTCTCCATGTCCACAATATATTTTTTCTTAAAAATAATAGTCCAAAATTTAAGACCAGAGGATATTAACGAATTATCAGCTGCTACATTTGAATTATTGCTAGACAAGTCTCCATGAACATCTTGAGGGGCTATGGACTCATCACCTACTCCACGGTGGCCGCTTATTTGGTGTGCCATGTCAGATCTATTCGCTAAACGAAGGGGTATGGACCTACGGTGAACCAGTTAAAAAGTTTAGGAGCCAAAAAATGCAGTTTGAAAGTTGATGGACCTGGATGACACACCACCAAAAATTAATGGACCCAAAAATACAATTTAAAAGTTGAACCTAGATGACACATCACTACAGTTAATGGACTTTGTCGGTGTTTCGGAACCGGAGGTCCTTAACCGATTAGTGAATTTGTGCTGCGTGCTCCCAATTCCGGATGATGATGCAAAGAGACACAAGGTTTATACTGGTTCGGGCAATGGATGCCCTACGTCCAGTCTGAGAAGATGTTCTTGTATTCCTTGCACCGGGGTGCTCGTAGTAGGGGGTTACAAGCTAGGCGAGAGAGGGAGTTCGTCCCAGGTCCCTGTGAGGGGGGGTGATATGAATTACAGAATGAGGTGTGTTGTTCGTGCGAGTATCCGTGACTCTATCCGCCGTCCCTAGAAACGGTCCTGGCTGCCTCCTTTTATAGCCGCAGGGAGGAAACCAGGAGTACATAAGAGAGCTACACGTGGAGCAAGGACTATTCGATGACGTATTTACTCCTAGAGCAGCATGGCGTTGTCGTGGGAGTTCCCGTAGATGTCTAATCGGTATGGTCTCCACTGCAAGTAACATGCCTTTGCACATTTGTTGACTTGGTGGATTGCGAGGGCTCGGCGCCATCGTAGCGGGTCGTCTTTGAGGCTGGTTGTCTGCCCGAGGCCTGCCGTGCTTAGGCCCGAGAAGTGACCAGTGCGTGACGCGGGTCTCGGCCGGTCATCGTGCGTATAGTGCGAGA